ATGGAACGATCAATGTGACGAAACAAGTGCTAGTTCGCTTTAATCTCGGACAGTACGAGGACGAGGTTTTGTGTGACGTTGCACCGATGCAAACAGCTCACCTATTGCTTGGTAGACCGTGGCAATTCGATCGAAAGGTTACACACGAAGGTTGGACAAATTATTATAAGTTTCAGCACCAAGGTAAGAAGTTTGTGTTGAAACCTCTTTCTCCGGATGACGTTTACAACGATCAAAGGCAGATGGAGGAGAAGAGGAATACAGGCAAGGCGTCTCGAGCTCAGATGTGGGTACAGAGGCACATGGGATTCAATTTCATGAGCTTTCGGAAGCACCAGAAGGCAGTCCCAAAGCTTGAACCAGCAACCTGCAATGAACTCTGTTTATCCCCTGCAAAACAGAGTGCCGAGTTCCGCAGCTTGCTCGACGAGGAGGAAAAGGAATCGGAGCACGAGGAGGCCATAGATGAGTCTATGGAGGTTGAAGGAATGACGTACGAGCAAGGAGAGGGCCTCGATCAGCCTGCCGATGCTCAAAACGCCCTGGCGATGCAAGCTGTCGCGCTTTCTTCAGCTCCGGCAGAACAGAACATGAGAGAGAACGAATCGGTTGGAGCAGCTCGCGAAGCTTCGAGCCAATCCAATGAATCCATCACGTTCCAAATGGAGTCAGGAAGCTCTCCTCATGATCAAAAGGAAACAACTCCTTCTAGTTTGCTGAATCAAAATCGAGCTCACACCCCCCTGGAAACGCTCAAGAACAAGCAAAAATCGACTGAATGGGATGGGGAGATAAGGCGTGATTCGACACCAACGATCACTTCCGAATCGTTCAAGGAGGTCAGCAGAAGGTGTAGGAACGATCAATTGGTCGCGGAGATGGCCGAATCGAAAATGCCCAAATTAAAAAAAATTGGTCGAAAGTTTGAAGAAGAAAAGAACGAATCGATTCGAGCTATTGGGCGTGAATCAATGGAAATGAAGGCTTTGGACAAGTTCTTGGAGGTCCAGGGAAGGTTTAAGAGTCTTCAATTGGACGATGAGATGGCGGAATCAGAAATCCCCAAAACGTGTTATGGCTCGCCGGATTCTGGGTTTTCGTCGCCGGAATCTGGGAATTTCAAATTTCCCGACGGCGGGAAACACGGGAAGTTGAATTGGAGGCGGTTTACTCAGTTTCGACGCACGGGAGTAGTTGAGTTCCATTCGTGGGATCAAGATGAGTCGATTGGGAGCAACAAATTCGATCGGGGAGGTCCTGAGAAGAAATCCCCAATTTTGAAGATCTCGCCGGAAAATATTAACTCGCCGGGAACTGCCATTTCACGGCCGAACTTTGTAAGTTTGCCAAATTCGATTCTGGGTCAAATTTTATTCCTTGTTTGGGTGGAATGTGAACCTTGGAGTCCAACGAAGAGGCTGGAGCAGATTAAATGTGAATTAGAAGCTGACATAGTTATGCCGAAAAGTGAGTTTGAGCAACCTAATTTCGATCCACTTTGGGAACAATTTTGTGACGTTTTTGACAAGAAGCAGATTCAAGCTTTGAGGTCAAAGCTTTTTGAAGAGGGGGAGCCTGATATGATCCCAATTGGATCAATCCACAATTCACAATTACTTGTCAAAGAATCCATCTCACTTTACAAGAAGAATTCTGATTTTTGGCCAAGTGTTGAAACAGTTTCAGGTAGCCTACTTTGGAAGCTTGTATCTCACAAATGGCTCAATCAAAATGGGAGATTAAGAGCTTGTTTTGAAGATAATGTTATTATGTTTACATTGGTATGTTTTGGAGCTCAAGGAGATGTCTGGAAAGTCACTTTCAAAGCCCATCAAAAGGCTACCTCAAAACAGGAAAACTGCCAGAATTTGGCTAAGGCAGAAAACTGTTTTGAGATACCAACTTTGAAGGCCTATATCTGGAGTTTGGGACATGATCTCAGGCTGATTCAAGTTGGATATGAAATAGGAAGTTTTCTTCTACAGAGGCAAGGAATTGGTTGAATTCGAATCAACTTAGAAGATCATTTTCGAAGGGCTCAAAGATGCTATGAAACCTGTTTTCCTAGGCAGACTTGCTTGCGTTTTAAGTCAGTTTCTTGGCCAGCAAGTTACCTTGTTTTGAACGAATTATTTAGACCTTTTCTGTACTAATTAGTTTCCTAGTTCTATTAGGTTTGTATTAGGTTTTCTTGGCTATAAATAGCCTTCTATTTTCGTTGTAAAAAAAAGACTTGATTAATCGAAAAATAAACCTTTGGTTTTGTGCAAGTTGCGACTTGTTTGAGTTTGGTGGATTCCAAGCTTGTGAGCTTTGTATCGATTGAATATTATCTTCAATCGTGGTCGAGCAGCTACCCTTTTATACCATACGAGCTTTCCCCAGGTGTGGAATTGTCCGTTGGTTCCGTTTTATGCCAAGTTCGTATTAAGAGCGCTTCGTTCTTGATTCGAGCTCAATCGATTCTTCGATTGAGTCGTTTGCTGCGTTACTTTGATAACATACACCCCCAGGGGCGTATCATAATAGATCACGATGAACTCGTTCCTTCTGAGCAAACGTTTTCAAAAACAACTTAGAATGAAGAAGTTACCATATGGTATGTAGTTGGTAACAGGTGGTATGAAAAAAAAATCTCGAAATATATTGAAAATTGATCTCATTTTGTAGAGCACAACGAACTCGTTCCATCTGTGAAAAAAAAAAAATATTTGAAATCCTAGTTGAACGAAGAAGATAGGAGCCGATTAAGAAAACTAGGAAAAATAAAATGCTTTTAAATGACAACCCTTAGATCTGAATTTTCTAGACCCACTCAGATCTAAAGGTCCAGATTTAGTTACTCATGGTTCCCTTGTAAACCTCCCCATATATACCCTCCTTTCCCCACAAAAATTATATGCCGCCGGCGCAAAAAACAAAAAAAAATCGCTTGAGAACTGGAATGATGAGCTATAAGTGGATGGGAACCACTTGAGAAGACACTGGGAAGGAATCTAGATGGAAGGCGTTAGTGGCATGTGATATTTCATTGTAAGAGAAGCATTTCAAGGTGGGTGGTCTGGGGGACTTGATGACGATATTCTCTTTGGTTCGGTGAATTGACCTTCCATCTTCATTCCCGATTATCTCTACGTCTTCTTCTTTGAGGGTTCGGTGGACTAATGAGAAGAGCCGCTTCACAGAAAGGAAAATAATAGAGGGTGGAGGAAAAAAGAAGACCTTTTATGGTTGCTCTATCTCTGGAGTGGAACATAAAAGGGAGTTGGTAGTTTCCTCCAGCCACGAAACCGGAAAAGAGACTTGTTTATCATCCTCCAGAACGAGTCAAGGATGAGTTTCGAATTCTGCAAGCGCTGAAGGAGAAGGGCGCGGAACGATGGAAGTTGTCTCTCATCGGGCAATTCGTCGGGAAGTGTCCCAAGGTAGTGGAGCTCCAGTCCTGGGCAAACCGCCTTTGGGGACGAGATGGTACGGTTTGTGTTTCTCGTTTTGTCCCTAACCTTCTGGTGTTTCAGTTTCCATCGTTACAGTCGTGTGATTGGGTTTTCAAATTGGGGTCGTGGCACTTCATGGGCAACCCGATTTTCTTTCGTAAATGGGAAGCGGGTATTCAGCCTCTTGTTCCAAAAGTGGAATCTCTGGCGATTTGGGTCAAGCTCTGGGGTTTGCTCTTGAATATTTGGGACAGGATGGGATTGAATGGGTTGAGAGCACAATAGGAAGGCCGCTCTAGACTGATCAGAGAACTCGGTTTGGGGTTCAGTTAGGGTTTTCTAAGGTCTGCATTGAAATTGCAACTGATAGTGAATTCCCTTCACGAATTCGTATGTACCCAGATAACGATCCTGTTTTTTAGATTGGCATTGAGTATTTGCAGCTACCTAAGGTTTGTCCAAAGTGTTGTATCTTTGGTCATATTTGTCAGAAGGAAACTCAGATGCAGGGGAAAGTTAAGGAGTTAGCTCGAAGCCTTCAAGATAGTTATGTTGTTATAACAGGGGGGGCCTGATAAGGTTGGTGAGGGAACTGATAAGGACAGTGTGAGTAGCTCTGCAGAGGTTAACTTTCTGGACAATAGTGCTGAGGGAAATGAGAATGAAAACAGGAATTGTGAGGCTAGTAAGGATGAGGGGATAGCTAATGAGGTCCCTGATCTGGGTGTAGTTACTGATGTGGTGAATTCTGTTGGGGAGGCCGCTATAAATTTAGAAACTATACAAGTTTTGGCTCCTAATCCTACTGGGAGTCCTCCGTTGAGTTTTGCTCAAATAATGCGTGGATCACCACCAAGGAGTGGGATTCTTTCTGCTACTGAGCATACTGCTGAAAGCGGCACGTCGCCAGCATCAGGGAGCTTGTTGGTTTCACAAACTCAAGGAGAAGTTTTGGGGTCTGGGATGGGAAAGTAAAACAGAAAGCCGCCTGATAAGGGTAAAAAAATGTGGGTAGACTCTCCATTGATTCCTCTTCAACCTAAAAAAGGGAGGGGGGGGGGGGAGACAGAGGTAAGAAATGAAGATCCTTACTAGAGATGACAACTTTGCCCATACCCATGGGTTTCTTACTATCCAACCCAATTGGGTTGGGTATGAAATCCAAATAGATGGGTATGGGTAAAGTTTGATGGGTTTGTACCCATACCCATTTACTTTGGGTTGAGTTGGGTTTATATCAAATGGATTTGGGTTTGTACCCATGCCCAAATACAAATTACAGTTTGGTACCCAAACTTAATAGACATGCATATTTAGTACCTAAATTTAATTTTTTTTTGCATATAAGTCCTCAAAATATCGATGGAAAATTATGTTTTGGTACCTAAATTTTTTTGGTCTTACATTTTGGTACCTAAACTTTTCAAGTTTTACAAATAGGTCCAATTTTTGCATGTGTAGTTAAAACGCCTTCAAGTAAATGGATATCCATATCCAACCCATACCCATTTAGATTATGGAAGCCCCAAACCCATCTATAAACCCCCAAATCCATATGCACTTCACCCAAACCAAACCCATTATCAATGGGTCTACTTGGGTTTGGGTATAATTACCCATGGGTGGGTAATTTGCCATCCCTAATCCTTACCTGGAATACAAGAGGGTTCAAAGCTGATAGTAAGTATACAACAGTATTACAAAAAGTAAATAAATATAGTATTGATATAGTAGCCATACTAGAACCTAGAATAAAGAATACTGAGACAGATAAGTTGATGGCTAAGAGATTCCCTGATTGGATGAACAAGGTGAAGCACAATCAGGCGGGGTTGGGGAAGATTTGGTTGTTGTGGAAGAAGGATGTGCAACTAACTATTCTCCACTCCTCGGACCAGTTTATTCAGTTTATGGTTGGGGGTCCTCAGCCTTTCTTTGGAACGGTTGTCTATGCGTCAAATGATGAAGGCAGTAGGCAATCTCTTTATAATGAGCTTAGAAAGATCAGAGTCTCTTCTACTCCTTGGATTCTGCTGGGCGATTTTAATGATATTAGACACCCTGATGAGGCCTCGAATTCACCCAGAGTAGACGTTGCAATGTCTTTGTTTAATGAATGGATAGTTGACAATGAGTTGGAAGAACATCAAGCTATAGGTCCCTGGTTCACATGGCTAAATAAATAGACAGCCAATCCTATTGCTGAACGGCTTGACCGAGTCCTGATTAATTTTCATTAGATGGATAAAATCAAGGATAGTAAAGTCCACTTTCAAGCTCCAGGTGTTTCATATCACTGCCCTATGTTTGTAGAAACGTCAGCTTCCCTAAAGTCCCTCCCTAAACCGTTCAAGTTCTTCAGGTTCTGGATTCATCACCCTTGCTTTGATGAAATATTGGAAGAGGCTTGGAGAAGTATAGTAACTAGTACTCACCCTTTGATTAGGGTCTGCCAAAAGTTGAAAAACCTACAAAGGAAGTTGAATAGAGAAGAGTTCTCTGATATCAAAGAAAGGGTTAAGGAGAAGGAAGAAGAGGTACAACAAGTTCAGAAGTTGGCCCTTAATGATCCTTCCACTACTAATTTTGAAGCTGAAAGGAAGATGGGGCAGGAGCTTAAAGTCCTAATGGATGTTGAAGAGTGTTTTTATAAGCAGAAATCAAGAGAGTGTTGGCTCAAAACCGGAGATATGAATTCTGTTTACTTCCATCGCTCAGTTAGATCAAAACAGAAGAAGTGCACTATTAGAATGCTGAGAAATGAGTCAGGGGATCAAATACATGATGTGGAAGGGATGGCTCATATTGCATTCAAGTTTTATGAGTCTCTTTTGGGAGTGGTTGATCCTGAGGTTGTGAAGCTGTCAGATAGTTATTTTGATGATTTACTGAAGCATAAGTTTAATGAAGAGCAGTTGGGAGGTCTGTGTAATCCTTTTACTGATGATCAGATTAAAGCAATCTTATTTGCAATGGATGGGGACAAGAGCCCAGGTCCTGATGGTTTCTCTGCGGCCTTTTTTCAGTATGCTTGGCCATTTATTGGAGCTGAGGTAACTTCTGCCATTAAATTCTGTTTTGAACAGGATAGAATTCCTAGGCGAGTAAATGCTACTATCCTCTCCCTAGTTCCTAAAGTCCCTAATCTTGATGAAATGAAATACTTTAGGCCCATTCTGCTACAATATATTGTATAAATGCATTTCCAAACTTATTGCTAATAGGCTTAGCCCTCTTCTTCCTTCCCTAATTAGCAAAAATCAGACTACTTTTGTTAAAGGCAGACTTATAGGAGAGAACATCCTTTTGGCTCATGAGCTGGTTCATAAGTATTCACATCAAAATATTTCCTCGAGATGTGCTATCAAGATAGAACTTATGAAGGCTTTCGATTATGTTGACTGGGAATTCATTTTGTAAGTGTTAAGGTGCATGTAGTTTCCTGAAAGGTTTATCAAATGGATTAGTATGTGTGTGTGTACCCCTATGTTTAGTGTCTGGTTGAATGGGGTCTGGTCGGTTACTTTCCAGCTAGGAAAGGGTTCAGGCAAGATGACCCTTTATCTCCTTATCTTTTCTCTATAGCAATGGAAGTGTTTACATGTTTGCTTGATAAATCTGCTGCCAATGGACTATTCCCCTATCACCCTATGTGCAAAGGCATCCAGCTCACACATCTTTGCTTTGCGGATGACCTTCTGGTCTTCTCGGATGGATCTAACTATGGGATACAGGAATTGCAACGAGTTCTTGAGCAATTTAAAAAAGTTTCTGGACTTAAGTCTAACCCCAGCAAATGTGAGGTCTTTTTTGGGGGGTCTTGACAAGGAAGAGAGGAAAGTCAGGGCATCTCGCTATGGCTACAAACTGGGTGAGTTCCCAGTTCGTTATCTGGGTGTTCCCCTGATCTCTGGGAAGCTTAGCTTGTCTTCTGGTCAAGCTCTGATTGATAAAATGGTAGCAAAGGTTAAAAGCTGGCAAGCTAAGTCACTCTCTTATGCGGCAGGATTGAGCTTGTTGGTACGGTCTTATATAGCCTTAGTCAATTCTGGATGTAAGTTTTTCTCCTGCCAAAATCAGTCATCAAGGAAGTGGAGAGAATATGCAGTAATTTCATTTGGGGAGTTGGAGTTGGGACGAAGCTAAGAGCAAATGTAGTATGGCAGAAGGTTACCTATCCAAAGAGAGAAGGTGGTCTGGGTTTTAGGGATCTGTGGAGCTGGAATCAGGCATGTATAACGAGGCATTTATTGCTGATTTTGATGCAAGAAGGTTGTCTTTGGTTGCTTGGATTAACAAGTACAAACTGAAAGGGCGAGATCTCTGGAGTTACTCTTGTACTTCAGGGTCTTGGAACTGGCACAAGATATTGAAGTTAAGGGGTAAGGTTGCAACTTTTATTTCGATCAGAGGGGGGGAACTTCGTTTGAATGACTCTCCTACGCCTTCTTATTCTATAAAGAGGGTTTGGCAACTATTGCGGCCTGCTCAACAGACTGTTGGATGGTGGAAATTGGTTTGGAAGGGCAAGGCCATCCCTCGTAACAGAGTGATTACATGGCTTGTTGTTAGAGGGAGTATTAACACCAAAGTGAAGATGCAAAGATGGGGATATGGTGGTAGTTTGGAGTGTTGTTTATGTGGAGCAGGTGTGGAGGATAGGGATCACATATATGCCTGCTATCCTTTTACACGCCATATGTTAGAATCTCTCTTTTCTAAATTTATGCAGATCCCAGTTATGCAGCGATGGGATGAGGTTCTGAATCTGATGATGTCTAAACTAGGTGGAGTTTCGGAGGGAGCTAAAACAGGAAGACTGATCTAACAGGCCTGGGTGAGCCATGTATGGAGAGAGCGATGCCGACGCTTATACTCAGCTGAGGAGATGAATTAAAATACTCTGTTGAAGACGATTAAATCTGAAATTGAATGTATGATAGGGGCTCATCGAGTTTGTCTATTCTGGGTTGATTAGCCATCTATATCTGTATTGGTTACTTGATTGTAGGTTGATAAGAACAATCACTATGATATTACAAATTACCTAGCTAGCAAGGTTGTTGCTAGCACCCTTTCTTTTGATGAATGAAAACCCACTGATTCATAAAAAAAAAATAATTGCCACGTCACTCACTTAACGGTCAATAGTGAAAGTTGAACGCCACATCATCAAAAGTTAACGAAGACTAACGGTCAGTGACCAAATTTGTATGTTAATCTAATTTAAGTGATTACGGATGGAATAAATTAATTGTAGTGGCAAACGTGAACTTTACTAGTAATTCAAGTGGCCAAATTTGCAATTTAGCCATTGATTATTTATATAAAATAGGAAAATGTGAGGGCAAACTTAAAATTTTAAAGGGTTAATTACAAAGTTGGTCACCGGGTTTACTAAAAAGGTTCACGTTTGGTCACTAAAAATATTTAATTCCATTCGTGGTCGCTAAAATTACTTAAACAATTCAAATTTGGTCACTCTACGTCCAACTCCGTTAACTTTGTCTGATGTGGCAGTCAACTATTAGAGTTGACCGTTAAGTGTGTGACGTGGCAATTAAAAAATAAAAAAAATTTAATCTTTTAAATTTCCACCTCATTATCACAATTATTAAAAATATTAAACCAAATTTCTTCTAATCCCTATACCCTACCGGCCAAACCCCGCTGCCATCGCAATTGTCGCCGTCTCCCTGCCATTATCGCAGAGGGATTGGCGACGGATGGATTGGCAGTTGGTGGTGGAGTTTATGTACGACTCTTTATCACCTCTCGCGCCACTATCTGCATCTACTTCATATCCCGGAAATCGAACAGGTGACCCCATTCTCGACGTCTTTGGCAAATCAACACTGAAGGGCCCTTCAATTACATCAATTTCGGACAAAGAGGTGACCAAAGGAGTAGAAGGTGAAGGTGAGAAAAATACAATAAAAAGACAACTTGCCAGAACTTGGAAATTAAAATATGCTCCTTCCAATTCTCGGAGAACGAAGGATAAGGTGATTGTCGTTCGGCTAGCAGCATTGTCTATCTATCATCTCCACCTTGCGGCTTTGAATTGCCTGAAGCCATTTTTTGTGATGAACTTCTGGAATCGGCTAACTAAAATCCACTGCAATTGTTCTGAACTGAGCGACGACGGCACAGGGAGGAAGGCAAAGCTCTTATAGGAAAGACGGCATCTTTGGGGTTGGGGGGAAGGGTGTGGTGGTTACCAGGAACTAAAGGTTTGGGATGAGATTTGGGGGGAGGGCAGGGGAGTTTTATGTTGATGGGGATCTCATGGGACGTGGCCGACGGGAGGTGGCCGACGAGAGTTGGGATGAGATTTGGGGGAGGTTTTGGGTTGTCTTTGATTTAGGGAATTTCTATTGATGGGGGATCTCGTAGGAGAGGTGGCCGGCGTGAGTGAAGCGGCAGATGGAGGGTTGAGGTTCAGCCGAGTATGGGGATTAGAAGAAAAGAATTTAGGTATTTTGTAATTTTTATTTTTTAATAGTTGGAATACTGAGTTGGAAATTTTAAAAATGATTTTTTATTTATTTTTAAATTGCCACGTGGCAAATTTAACGGTCAATTGTAAGAGTTGACTGTCACATAAGCAAAAATTAACGGAGAGTGACCAAACTTGGACTCTTTAACTAATTTTAGTGACCACGAATGGAATTAAATATTTCGAGTGACCAAATAAGAACAGTTTTTTTAATCTCATTAACCAACCATGCAATTAACCCAGTTTAAAAGTTCATGAGAGTATGGGTAAAATCTCATCATGGTATGTTACAAATCTCACATTAATATGCGGGTTTACATGTTTGTCAGTTTGTGGCTCTTCAAATATGTGGACCCCACATATTTGGTCACTAAAAGAAGGGCTAAATTGCAAGTTTGGTCACTCGAATTGCTATAAATTTTCATGTTTGGTCACTCGAATTCGTTTATTCCATTCGTAGTCACTTAAATTAGTTGAACAATCCAAGCTCGGTCACTCTCCGTTAACCTCCGTCAGACTCCGTTAGTGTTGTCAGTTAACTGCTGACGTGGTTAACAGAGATGCCTAGTCGGACAATTTTAACCCAAGAAAAAACAGAAATTGACCCACCACGTCTCCACCTCATATAAATACAACCCAACTCACCCAACCTTAAAAAAAGCATTAACCCACCCAAAAATCGAACCCGTGACCCATCCACCCTTCTTCTTCTTCCTCTATACCCTGCTTTTGCCGCCGCCGGGGGGATTTCCCCTCGATCTCCCTGTTGCAGCCCCCGCCTCCGGATCCAGATGCGCGACAGATTCCTTGTCAGGGTGTTGAGGTCGAGCCCGATGTGGTTGTCTTCGATGTCCTGAAACTCGGGGTTGCGCATCGCGTCGAGCTCGACGGCGACGACGTGGTTGGATTCCCTATCCATGTTGGTGGAATTGAAGAGACCCAGGTGCTGGCTAGCGACGGCGTTGGTGAAGTCGGTGGTGGGGGAGATGAAGAAGGCGATGTCGTGGCCGCCCGCCGATGGCGATTCTGGGACCATGGGGAAGAACCGGCTTTTTTGGTTCGTCCTTCTCACTTTCTTCTTCCTCGCTTTCGATTTCTTTCAATTTTCCTTTTCCTTTCTCTTCACCTTCCTCAACATGATAATAATGGCGAAACAAACTCTTGGAGTCCTACTTCTTCCGCCTGCCGCGCTTGTCTAAATTTGTGGAGGAGCCACCGAAATTCTTGTCGGTGAACATGCGTTTGAATCTGGATCGATAGCAACCTTCGTCTTGCGTTGGGTAACCTTCTGGAACCAAGGGTCAGGGTGAGCCATGGCAAACCGTGGATCCGAAACCATCTCACCGCCTGTTGCAGCTCTACCATTGCTACCCAAGCCTGAGGTTTGTTTCTTTTTCTTATCGCTTTTCATCGTCTTCTGATTTTGCTCAGAGGGAGGCGGAGGAGGGCGGCTCAACCTCTTCTTTGTAGTTCGAATACGAAGAGGGTTCGAAATCAATGGAGACAGAAGCCACAAAGCCGTCGATGGCGATTCTGGGACCATGGCGAAGAATCGGCTTTTTTGGTTCCTCCTTCTCACTTTCTTCTTCCTCGCGAATCTGGATCCGGTGGCGGGGGCTGCAGCAGGGAGATCGAGGGGATATCCCCCCGGCAGCGCGCGGAAGCAGGGTATAGAGGAGGAAGAAGAAGGGTGGAGTCACGGGTTCGATTTCTGGGTGGGTTAATGGTTTTTTTTAGGTTGGGTGGGTTGGGTTGTGTTTATATGAGGTGGCATGTTTTTCTGATGTGGCGGGTCAATTTCTTTTTTTTTTCTTGGGTTAAAATTGGGTGACTAGGCATCTCTGTTAGCCACGTCAGCAGTTAACTGACGACACTAACGGAGTTTGACGGAGGTTAACGGAGAGTGACCGAACTTGGACTGTTCAACAAATTTAAGTGACTACGAATGAAATAAACGAATTCGAGTGACCAAAAGTGAAATTTTGTAGCAATTCGAGTGACCAAACTTGCAATTTAGCCCTAAAAGAAGAAAGAGTAAATTGCAATATTGATCACTAGATTTATTAAAAACGTTCAAGTCTGGTCACTGCAAATATTTAATTTCATTTGTGGTCACTAAGATTAGTTCAATAGTTCAAGTTTGGTCACTCTCTATTAGTCTCCGTTAACTTTTGCTGATGTGTCGGTCAACTTTCATAGTTGACCGTTAAATGAGTGATGTGGCTATTAAAAACAAAATTTAATCTATTTCATTTTACATCTATTTTTCACAACTAAAAAAATCGAAAGCCAAAAAGCTCGTTGTTCCCCTGTTGCCGGCGAACCCTCCACTTCTACTCCGGTAAGTAGAGGACCACCGTTTCAGGTCGTCAAGGAGATCCCGCCGGTGGCGGTTGACGGATTTTTGTTGGCCGTATTGCACACTTCTTCTTCTCCTTCCTTCTCCTGTTCATTCGTCACCAATCGTGCTTCCTTCTCTTCCGCCACCCACAACAAAATGACGACAACCAATCGTCAAATCCAAATCCACTAATCTATGAAGCAATATTAAATTTTGTTTTTAATAGCCACATCACTTATTTAACGGTCAACTATGAAGATTGACTGCTACATAAGTAAAAGTTAACGGAAACTAACGAAAGAGTGACCAACTATTGAAATGAAATAAAATATTTGCACTGAACGACTAAACCCACTGTGTGACTAATAAGTTTGCCGTGACGCCAATAAGCTTCCTCTTCGCCGGCAGTCCTCCGTCTGTCTTGGCCAGTGTCAATCGGAGAGTCGGATCGTAAACGGAATAGCACAGGGAGTTGGAGTTGAAACTTGTGAAATCGTCCCGCCGTTTGTTTCTCTCCCCCTCTTGCCACCGCCGTCGAACAATTTCAGGTGCCATTGACCTTCTCCTCCAAAAAACCTAGGTCCTCTGCTCTGGTCAGCCTGATTAAAGATAATTTCTGATGGATTGGATTACGTTGTTCCGGATTCTGTTCATTGTTGCTGATATGAGAGACTGAGGCAAGTAATAGCTGAGATCTCTGTTACGCCTTCTAGAGGTGCAGTGAATTAGGGTTCTTGTTGTTATAACTCGCGGAAAAGTTGAACGAGGGACGTGAGAAGATGAGCAGCTCCGGTGCTGCAGGGCAATCGTCAAAACCTGCAAAGGCTGGTCCCTCACAGCCTTCCGAAACCTCTACTAAGAGGAAACGAGGAATGTTTCAGAAAGATTGTAAGCCCACAGCCGCTTTTAACTTAATCGCTCTTTCAGTCTTTGTTTATCGAGTAGTGTTTAATGATTGATATGCCTGTAATTTCTTCCTTGTTATACAGTACAGCACATGATGTATGGGTTTGGAGATGATCCTAACGTGAGTTCACCATCTCATTAGTACTTCAAATATCTCCCACTTGTTTTCTTTTAGATTTTCTCTTCATCACAGACTTGAAGTTTCTGCATCATGCATTAGCTTAAGGTTGAGGATCATGTAGCGAAATGAGGTGTGAATTCATAGCGGGTCATTTCTGTGAACCACTTAACCTACGGACTACGCATCCTAAAAACATTGGTGGGTTGGGATATAACCGGTAACCCACTTAACGTTGGAACTGGCACACCAATAGTTTACTAGTGTGGGTCATTTGGGGACTTAAAGTGGATGTTTCATTCCGCTTTGGTATCTTGCATTTCTGTGAACCAGAAACCTAATAGAACATGGGGGAGAATCTGCATTGCTGCCTGGTTATCTATTAGAATAAACAAAAAGAAAAACATATGTTATTTGACCCTCAATAACTGAACAGGAATGTCCCAAGATGAGTCGAGTCCAAGTTTGTACTCAGGGTTCCCTTTCTAGATTGTTAGGTTCCTGAATCTGAGAGCTTTAAGTGCAAAGTAATGGGCCATCTTTGAAAATTCTGCTATGGTGTCATTACTCGGCTAATATGACGAGTCTCCGAGAGAAAATTCAGTTGATTATCTGGATATCCATACAGTATGTCTATGTATCAACTTTAATCTCGTGACGCCCTTAGTGTAAAAAGCGCTTTGTTTTCCTCTTTAAAATGCTTAAGCGTGTAATGAATTAGGTATTTGTTATGACTTTTGCGGCTCATTTACAAGCTTCCTAGTTCAGAGATTCTTCTCCCATTTTTCTATTTGCTTGTTTTTACTTCGATTTGAATTCATCTGTTTTTTTCCTCGTAATCAGCCAATTCCTGAAAGTGTGGCACTTGTAGAAGACATTGTTGTAGAGTATGTCACTGACATGGTAAGCATTCAGTTTGCTTGTAACTAACGCCTGGAAAATTTTCAATGCATATTCTAGTAATAGGGTCCTAATTATTAATTAAGGAACTTCTTCTGTTCCTTCAGGTACATAAAGCACAAGATATAGGATCCAAGAGAGGCAAAATATCAGTGGAGGATTTCCTCTACTTGATCCGCAAGGTACTCGTCCGCAGTCTTTTCCATCTTAACAATATGTGCGAACCACTTATTCATAATGTATTTGATCGTTTGTGTCATATCGCTAACCAAAAGTTCTGTCATGGTCAAGTCATCAAGCTCTTTACCATGCTTGGTGTTTAAGGCTAGCAAGAAGAAAGGAAGGATTTACTATTCAGAGCCTTGTGTTCGGGCATGGTCACATGGTTTTGGTTGCGACTTTCAACTGAAATAGGAATATCTATATTGTGTACAATGTCTATTATCTGCCAAATAAGATGTAGCCACAGTTATGGTTCGCCACCCTTATGCATTTTGGGCTAATTTGGGGTCCTTTTACTCTTGACCACACTGCAGGACATGCCAAAGCTCAACCGGTGTACAGAACTGCTATCCATGCAAGAAGAGCTGAAGCAAGCTAGGAAAGCTTTTGACGTGGATGAGGACAAACTGGCTTCACTGGAGTGACGTGGAAGAGCTGGGAAATTGCAGTTGTCTTGCGTGTAATTGAAGTAAAGATGTGTAGTAACTCTTTGATAGAAGGAAATAACTCATGCTTGCTTGTAGATAAAGATTCTTTTGAATGATTTTCCTCACGTAGTAGTACTCCACTTGTCTCCGTCGACTGGCAAAAGCAGAGTTGCATCTTGCAGATTCCACGTCCGAAGATTGTTTATGGCGCGTAAAGATTTGATGGAGATTCTTATGCCAACTACCTAACTGAATTTGTACTTGAACCCGAGGCTGCAAACCTTAACAACATGGTATCGCTTATGGTCGAATCAGATTGCCAATTGCTGGTGGCGAAAGTACAGGAGCAGGAGCGGGATTAAACAAAAAAATTCAGACTCCTGCCATCAACAAACGAAGCTTTTTTTCTAACCAACCTGTGAACTCTGAAGCATTCAATTTCACCTCGTACCCACATGAGGTGACAGATGGCTCTCTTGAGCGTAAGGAGTTAGGACCTTTGGTCGATGAAAGTTACAGGTTTTACGTCCAAAAAGAAACCCTAATATGTGAATCAGCTTGTAGAACCCATGAAGATTCTTCCGACTAGCCCAGGTAGATTCGGAACTACTCGGATTGCAGATCCAAATGACTACAGCAATGCCTTTCAAGAGGTTTTATTCACCAAACATTGGAAGATGAATTCGACAGTTTTGAAACAAATATTTTCTTTGACCTGATTTTAAAACAAAAGATCTAAAAAGCACTAAATAAGGTGGAACAAAAAAGACCTGCTCTACTAACGTTGACTACTCAAGCTAATTTAGCTAGTATAACCATGTCTAGGATCACCACGTCAAGAGTGTCATCTAACTTTACAATTCCGTCCGTACCATCCACCCCGATCAACTTCCCGGTCGACCCTCGATGGGCTCCCCCCATTATCTTCACCTTGTCCGATTTCCTCGGCCCCACAATCTCCACGTCGCTTGCCATCGCTGTCACCATCTCGCCATTCCCTACCAACCCTATCTTGCATATTCCATCCTATAAACACCCACACCGGTAAGAACCCATCATCAGCTTCTTGGAGACCATTTGTACTTCGCAAGCATTAATGTAAACATGCAGCTTGTACAACAATAAACTTACCGGATGCACCTCTCGGACAACACCCACTAGAGATTCATCACCTATATGTACATTCACCAATATCTCTGGCATCAAACTCCCTCCTTCGTTGTCTGCAGGTCATCATCAGACGACAACAAACTTAGCCAAAACATGCCACCACAAAGCAATTGTATCCAGCTGGAACATCGTAAAATGACAAACTAATCACCACCCACTAACTCTTTACAGTTCAGTACCAAAACGTCATAAACTTTGCCCAACAGCCATTAGACCTGACAAATGTCTTAAATATCCTATTCAGAGCAAGTCAGATTGGAGTGTGTGGCCTTATCACCAACCACGCATGAACTCACAAACCCATTTAATCCCAACCCCATAAACTAGCGAACCCATTATAACCTTCCAACCCACCTCATCTGCCACCACTAGTTACACTCAATAAGCATTGGTAAAATTGACAGGGTAAGCTGAATATCAAACCTAAAACAGGAGACATGGCATCCAAACCACCAGTGCCGGGTGTCATTGGCTGGCCCCCAGGAGTTCCAGGAAGATAGGCTGTTGAACCAGGTGTCATAGGCTGCCCAGGAGTCGAAGGCATGTATGGGCTAGGAGCATTCGCTACAAAACGAATATACCATAAAGTATGTTATCCACCACATCACTCAAACTGAAGGAATTGCAACTGAGAAGACAAACAACAAACCATAAGCGGAACTACTGTCTCTTGGCGTTCCAGTATCACTATAATTGCCACCAGGGGTAGGCGCTTCGTAAGTTCTAGAAGGGGTGCTTCCTCGCTGGACAAAAGAAAACAAACTATGTTATCTTTTTCTCATCAAATAGCAAGAGATAAATGGAATTCCAAATTTACTAGAAACAAATTGATCAGCTAACCTGATACTGGGGACTAGTACCCCAAGATCCAGGATTTCCATCTTCCCAGTTATCCCTGGAATATAGCATATGATATCATCTAAAGGTGTCTGGTGCTAAATATATGAAAAACTATTATACAGCTAAACAATAAGGGTGGTTTAAACTTTAAAGTAAGTAGCTTAAAAGTTGCCTGAAAAGCTAAAAACAAGCGCACTTCTTCGATCAAACTTGCAAACAAGAGCACACTTCTTCCATTTAACTCTTTACAACAACTATTAACCCTAACTTCCACACATTATTTAAAGTTACACAACACTAATAAAATGTTATTGCCAACTTCGTCCTCTTTGACATAACAATCATTCTTAAAGCTTAACAGTCAATTTCTGAAAACGCAGTCATTATTGTTTTAGTAAATAAGCTACCTAATATCCCGTCAATTACTTTTTCGTTAAAAAATCTTCCAATTTTTTTTTTTTTTTTTGAAGCAATAAAGCAAATACGGAAATACACCCAAGCACATAGTAAGACGATATTACAAGGCAATGAAGAGTTAGAACCAAACCTCGGAGGACTCATTGGTGCATAAGGATTCCATGCTCGGTCACGCATAGGTGTTCTCATGCCATCGTGAATGGGTGTGGCTGCAAACATAGATACCAGCGACACAACATTGAGAAAATTTAATGGAGGATAGGATTAAGGGTAACTATCATGAAGTATAATGACAAGTGAGAATATAAACAAAGCAACACTCACCACCAGAGTCTCTCATAGGCGTCATGTAAGGATGCAACGGAGTTCGAGAGGGATGCATTGGGGTTTCACTTCCCATGCCATATCGACTTGAATCACTGACGTAACATTAAATGTACAAGTTAGCAAAGATTGTACATTGAAAAGCACTATAGATTTTAGTACAGCATGTTAGAATTTTTACCGGTATGGGGTGGAAACCACAGCCACGTTGTCAGAAATACAACTGCGATCAACTACACAATTACAAATCCCACAAGGTGATAAGTTTAACAATTATAGATGTACAGAAACCAAAACAACCCAGTACTAAGATGGAAGCAGCTACTTGCCCGTCACCACCTTCATTTGAGACTCTAACTCAACTCGAACCGATTGACCTTTAATGTCTTTCACACGTCCACGGTAGCCCTTGAAAGGTCCCTGCCGTATCTTGATTGTCGTACCTATCAAGGCATCATGCCCTCCCCTACCTCCTCTACCCCTTCCACCAACTGTACAGCATTCAATGGTCAAACACAAGATTTATCCCAAGTTGACAATGATGCATCCACAATAAACTTATTTCACTTGCATAGGGGAATGATCAGATGGACAAAAAAATAAATCGAATAAGAGAAGGTAAGTTTCACTGAAGCCTCAATCATCTACTTACACTCAAAAGGAGGACCTCCTCTTTCAAATCTCCGAGTTGAAGGGGGTATTCGAGGAGTGTTTTTAAGATTACCAAATCTTGAGTATGCATTCCCCTGAGAAAAAAGCAATCGAACTCAGTCTTAAAGTGTGAAATTACTGAAACCAACTTAATCAATTTCCAGCTTCCCATAAGAAATCAGTATACCAATGTCAATCTTAAGCTCAGATAATGCCATAAATTTAATCAAGTATCAATTAAAACAAAAACCTTATTCTATAAAACATAGGAGAAGTCGAACTCACATTTCTATCACCAATGGAACGTGATCCTCCAACAAGACCGCAAGCTTGGGATTTAACACAAATGAATCCCGCATGTTCAAGGTGGTGACGATCATGGATGAACAATATTCCCCTGTATATGTGCTCAACGGGACCCTGCTTCCCCTATTAACAGAGAAAAGGATTCAGCTCAACTTGCAGACAAAATACAGACAATCATGCAACAGATAAGCACAGAAAAAATACAGACACTCACCTTGCAAGAACCATCAAGGACTTTAACAACATCTTTTACTGATATTGTACTTCCATACCTATCTTGTACATTCGACTTCCTTTCTATCTTGCTTTTGATCTCTCTCAATCTTACAAGTGACACTTCTGATCTCTCGGGAACTCCTTTGAGAACCTGGAGCAAACACCAAGAGAAATGAGAAGATTGAAAGTATAATAAGAAGCAGTGGTTAGCGTTAACATCAGCAACATTCACCTGAAAGGCTTCACTTTCCACACGTATTATGACACCAAAACTCATATTACTGCAACACACAGAATATACAAGTAAGACCTAAATGATTTCTTAACAAAAAATATACCCAGATGATTACAATAGCAAGAGAAAATATATCCTTCGATAACAAAAATATTACTCCAGCAAAATAAGATCATGAAGCTCATAGTCTCCGATTTTGGTAACACCAGTAGTCACTTCTGAGCTTTCAACAACATCATCAGCAAATACACGCATCTGAGTCAACAAAGAGTAACGTGTAGTTTCTCAAACAATTATGAAGTATTTTGTACAACTGCTCAAGGTAGTTATGCCAAGGAACTAGAGATCATCAACTTACATGCTCCTTGGTTGTATCTGACAGAATAATGAGCACATGTTGCTCAACCTTGACAACCATGCCAGTTGCACCTGCTTGAGTGCCAGACACAACCTTAACATGATTACCAGGTTCAAAATACTTGCAGAGCTCTTTCTCGTGTACTGTAAGTGTTTTCTGAAATAAATGATAGATGCCAAGTCAATAAATCCATATGAAAATCCCCAAAAATAAAGTAAATGACAAGTACTACTTTAAACAAAGAAAGCCTTTAATCTTCTTACAGGAAGGCCCTTCTCCTCCGGTCTGATATGTACACTATCTTCCTCAACTTTCTCCACCCATCCTTTGAGGTTCTTTAAATCTCCTTTGACAATGATAACTGCATCGCCCTTCAAAAAGTGTCCTTTCTTCCGGTTTGCAAATAAAGTTGACAAGCTGGCCATATCATCATCGCCATGTTCTCCAGGTTTACGGAACTTCTCAAGTTCATCAAAACTTGGTTTAATGTTCGCAGCAGTAATGGATTTCATTGACACAGTTTTGTACAAGAAACCATCTTTGAACAACATGCCCTCAATACTCTCGAAGTAGTCACCTGTCATTGGATCTCTTCTCCGCTCTACACGAATGTTAAGTTCCCTGACAACAGATTAAGAGATATGAGGCCGAGAGTGCTTCTTTCTTAGTCATGACAATGAACAGATCCAGTATTCAATACTACCTAGCTTCATCATAATTCATAAAGCGAGGAGCAGGTTTAATTCCCTTCTTTTCTGCGACTGCTCGCCCCTCCTGTACAAGAAAGAGTACTCATAACTATGCTAAACGCGCACACTGCATAGCTTAATCACACTGATAGAATAATTGAATACAAACCGCTCTGTGCACAACAATGTAAGGAACCTCATTTTGTCCTCAAACAATTGGTCATTCCAAGAACAGCAAAAAGGAATAAGTGAACACAGTAAAAATGCATGGAGGAAATTCTTTACCAGTTTACTTGCAAGAGCCTGCAAGTCAATTCTGGGAATTAACTTCACTGTGACTCTCTGCTTCACATTGTCCACATCAACTACCTTCAGGAGAAGACAATGACCGATAAATTGATGATTTGAGGGGAGGGGGGGGGGGGGGGGGGGGGGGGGGGACAGATTAAGTGTAAACACATACTTTGGCTAAGTCCCCTTTGTAATTTCCTATCTTCATTCTGACCCAAGTATCCCTTGCAAGGTCAATTGCTTTGCTTTCAACAGAGAGGACATCCGTCATTTCTTTGATTGGAACAAGCATAGGTTTCGAAGAAACAAATATATTCCGAAGACCTTTGCATGCCTGAAAAATGCGCCAAAACACCCAAAAATGCATAATTAACGGAAAGGTTCAATACATGTTAAATCATCAAATTTGCTTGATGGAGAAAAGACTTATAAGCTTCATATCACAAGCATTACCTCCCTGACATGGGATTCTTTGTGGGCTTCAATATATATATAATTCTTGAGATGATCAAGGGCAACAACAGATGTAATTTGCATCTCAGGACCTCGATCAATGCACTTCTGCATAAGGCAGACTGCTGTCTCTCGCTCACGTCCAATCTAATATATTTGAGCACAACATTGTTATATGATACAGAAAAGTCCTCATGCACAACATTCAAAAGACAGGCCACGGAACAGAAGAAAAAATCAACAAGGAGCACGAAAAAGGACATAAAGCATACCGCACATTTCACCATCCAAAATTTTGTATCTCGTACAGATGGCAAGAGAGCCTGTTGTTCTACATCCGTAGTCTCTTCATCAAATTCACCCTGAGATGTTCTTGAATATCTTTCTTGAATTCTTCTGTAAATTTCATCCACATCTTCACCATCATCTTCCCGAGAGAGCAATGGCCGACGGTGTACCCGTCTACCATCATCCTCCTCAGGTAAATCAGCTCCACCATCAACAATGAAGTCTGTGTATGAAAAAGCCGATATTAAGCTCCATGTACTAGCAATAATCGTGTATATTAAAAATAATTTACACCAAGCGCCATCTTGGTCAACACATTTGTAACACCCAAAAATACAGTGTACCAGAAGAGACTGGAAGAAATAAAACGGGGAAAAAATGCACAAATAATCGAAGGCTATGTATTGCTCTCATGTGTCCCACGTCTAATAGAGGCCCATAAGATATCATCTAGATCCAGGAGGAATATGTGGATGCTAACGTTTCACGCATCTGGTATTATGTATACTTTGAGAGAACTAGACGGGAAAAAGATTAAACAGAAAGGATAAAATTATTTAAAGAAAGCTAAGATTGTCAACTTCGGAAATAGATATATCTTCATCAGATGGTTGGACGGGTACATTGGTGTAAATTTAATCCAAGGCTACAGAATAAAAAATTTCAAACTAAATAACACCAAGATCATCAAAATCAATCACGGATGAACAAAAAAATTAAAACAAAGTGTTTCACCACTGATTGTTCAGAGGGATTAGATTATAAAATGTGTCTTCTGTAATCATTTGTCGAAAATTGTATATTAGAGTGCATAAAACTTTTGGCAACTAATAGCGTTTGAGAACAAGAATCAGCCAATGTATGGTTAAGACTGAAGAAACATAAAATGCAGGATAAAGAAAGTGAAACTTAATGAAACTGAAATAGAATACGAGAGAGGATTAATACAATGAATGTTCTGGGTAATGCATGTATACTAATGAATCTTGCTAGCAGGGGAGCTTCCTCGTGAGTTTCAATAGGAAAATAAGCAGCATAAGAATGGCATGACAAATTGCCTATAGATTATTCAATAGACGACGCATCTGAGATCTGCAGCCTTTGACTTAAGTGCACAAGAGATGTATAGACACTAAAGTTATTTTCATTTAAAACCAAATCAACTCAATCAAAGATTGGCATTGAATCGACTGGCTGAATGTTTTCAGGTCACTGAAATGAAAGCTACAGGCTCAATATGCGAATTTCAGTTAAAGCAGGGTAGCATTGTAATAGTTTCAGTCTCCATATCAATGATATCATATGGATAAAACATTCAACTGAATGAGTACAATTACAGCTTGAACATGTTTTTAACTTTCCTGAACTCCAAAGCCCATAGAACTCCACCAAAATCCCACTTGGAATTCAACAGTTATAAACAAATAAACTATTCACAGTCACTTACTAGACGACAGACCAATTCCACCAGCATTTTTCTACAAGCATAGACTTTATTAACCACAGCAAAAATGCACTACACTAGCATCGTCGTCACCACAGATAGAAAAGGGCATAAGCTGGGCGCGAACCATGAACTACGAGGAAGACAGACCGAAACCTTGAGAGTTCGTCAAGAACTTAGACTAGCGAAACCAAAGGAGGTATTAGTTACTATTCCATGCCAGTTTAACAATTGCACTGAATCACAAGTATCCTAGGGATTTCCTGGAACCAACAAAGTCATCAAGAACTGAAGGCTGATGCAAACAATTGGTAATCAAACCCTAATTCAGTAGAGCCTAAAAAATCTAAATTCAACCCCGAACTGGAGAAAGATACCAAATGCGAGGTGTAATCAGAGGGGAAATAAAATTAAAATTGGCAGGAAAACAGAAGCAGAAATAAGCTTCTAGTACGCATACCATCTTCTCCGCCGTCTTCATCGTCTTCGTCTTCGTCGCTATCCACTTGTGCCTCCAGATCAAAGAAAGAAGCGCCCTTTCTAGCAGTCTTCCGCTTCTTGCTCCCACCACCACCACCTCCATAGTCTTCATCGTCGACTTCTTCCTCCTCATCCTCGTCCTCCTCCGCCGCATCATCGATGAAACTCGATCGAGACCGCTTCCTGTTGCTCGAGCTTCCCCGTTTCTCCATTTCGTCGTCGTACTCTTCATCGTCAATCAGCTGATCGTCCTGGTCCTCGTACTCTTCATCCTCAATCTCGTCGTCATCTTCGTCGTGTCTCCTCCGCGACATAGCTTTTTCGCCAATACAAAAACTCCCTTCCTCGCAGAATTTCGCTCCCCCCTCGTCGAACTTTCAAGCCAACAGCAATTTGTTCCGCCGGTGAACCCTAGATTGCTATGGACCTTTGGTGTGCCTCCCCTCTGAAACCCTTAAGCTTGAATAGATGAACGATCTTGAATGGACCTTTGGTGCGCCCCCCTCTGAAACCCTAAGAGCTTGAAGAGATGAACGATCTTGATTAGAATTGGGGAATTCTTTTACGGGATGGATTGGATTGGACCAACAGTAACATAACATCAAATAACGGTGGATGCCAACTGACAGGGAGGAAGGAAAAAGCGAGAGAGCAGTGCGCGCGATGGTGTTTTGGAGCTCCTCTGTGGTAGTAGTAACCTGGTAATGGAGTTCCTGCGAAGGACTGGACTCTGGAGTAGTGGAACTGGAGCCTTCGGCGCTGCGACTAATTGATTTGAGAAGAAAAGGTGACGCGGCTTGGGCCTGAAGCGGGAAGATAAGTGGTGGCCTGGTGGGGAAACCGCAGGCGAGTTATTTAACTGAATTGGGCCGAATGTGGCCCTCTAAGGTTAAGAACCCGACCGGCACTGTTCCAGAATCAATTCTAATATGACATTTCAATTATTTTATTGTTGTCATAGTAGAAATTTTGTAAATGTGTTATTCAAAATTGTGCGAAGATTAGGGTATCCTATATTCGTACGTTTTCTCGTATAACTTATAGTCGCATGATGATAGTTGACATGCTTATGTGTTATAACCCAAAATTTGTTTGATGGTAAAAATTGATTAGGTTATACCGTTTAAACCATGAATTTAGGCTTTATATGAAATATCCTTCTATTTGAGAAATAAAATTTAAAACTTGAACTTTTTTCTACATGTATAAATTCTCATATGAACAACCACAAACATCTTAATTAAAATGCTTTTGGTACAAAATATTCATAAAAATGGGAAAATGGTCTTCTGAACTTCCTATCGATCTCTCAATCACTTTAATATGTAGAGGGACACTCCAGCTTCAAAACAAGTCATTAGTCTTCAATTTCCATCTAGCCAATTGTATGATATGAATATCCAAAGTATGCATGAACTGTTTTTACACTGAAACAACAGATTAGGTCGACCTGATCTTATATGAAGTCGACCGAATCCTAAATGAGGTCGACCGGATCCTATATGAGGTCGACTAAATTCTAAATGAGGTCGACCTAATCCTAACTGAGATCGACCGGAAAGTGCAAGTCACCGTAGTCACACCCTAACAATATTTATCCTCAGTTCCTCACCGGCTCACCGCTCCCATCATGTCACAGGCCCACGACCCCATCCCTCTATTTCGGTTCTCTCCTTTAATCTGGTTAAAACTGAAAAATTGTAAAAGTAAAGGAAAATTTGTAAAAGTAAAGGAAAAAGTGTCAAAACAAATCATGATTTTATAATAGATTTATACAAAAAAAAAAGTGACAAAGATGCACCACCTTCTCTGATGAAAGTCAAAGATCGAACCCGATCATCAATCTCCACCAAAACATTGAAAGAGATAAATAAATTGAAAGTAAAGGTTGGAGAAGTGATAAAATTCAATTTCATTAATATTTAATAGCTAAAAGTATCTCTAATATTTAGGGCACGTATATAGTATACACATGCAAAATTGTCGAAATAAGGAATGAGGTTGCGGCTTTGGTACATAACCTGTTTTGTTTCCTTCGGTAACTTTAATTTAAGCACAGATCTCGAGCATTGCAACTAAGTTTTTTTTTTATCTCTCACAAATTTCCTACATACGAACTTTATTTCCCTCTTCAAATCTCTAATTAATAGAAAGCTATCAACGAAAAAGTTTACAGATGCTATGACGAGTATTTTATGAGAATTTATAACATCAAAGATAACACCCGCTATGTAATATCATCTTTACTCCTTCATTCTTTTTAAATTCATATCCATTGGAGAAAAGAACAACATACTACCTAAAAATATAGTTTTGGACTAAATATTGTACCTTATTGATGCCCGTTAAATCATTTACGTTTCAATTCTGAGGTTTGCGGACTGTTTGTGCCACATAACCTGAGGCCCCAGACAGCTCTCTATATCCTTCTATCTTCCGCACGCTCCTGCTCCGTGGACCTCCTCCTGCACGCACGGACGCCCTTCGAGCCCCCTTGCGAAGGGCTCGTTAGCACTCCGACGCTCAAGTCAGAACGATCTTTCTAGAGAGAGAAGTAAAAAGTAAGTATATAGAGAAGATAGAACCTGAGTAAATGAGTTCCACCCACTTCACTATTTATACTCTCAGTAGAGTCGACCAGTGCCCCCCGAATCCGCCCTACGTCATCATCCCATTTAATGCACCGTACTTTGCCCCAGCCATGCGCCCCAACATCTCGACACACGGCCTTGTTGCCGAGGCGCATGGGCCCACTTTCTGTTCCTTCCGTACCTTCCCGGCCGTTGTCACTTTTGTTGTTATGCGCCTTACGTCAGGCTTGGGTCCCACGCCCAGGCTCCAACTTCAGGCCCTTTTGGATGGGCTTTCTCTTGTCAGGCCCACCTCCTTGGCCCTTCTTTTGGGCTCGCGCATTCCCCCAACAATTGCCCCCCAGTTAGGCGCCTACCCCCTGGTTGGGGCCTAACTACCCCGACTTCTCCAGGAGTGCCTTCTGGTCGCCCTGCGTGCCCTTTTTCCCCCCTCCGTTCGTAGGCGTGCGCCTTCTTACGTACTAAACCCGTTCGAGCTCCAACTCACCATTCTGCCGTCCTATGGGTTGCGCCTCATACACGCGCTTGCGCGCCCACTAACAAGCCTCCTTCCTTTTCCCCCTTTATTTTTCTTTTTTATTTATTTATTGCGGGTGGACCTTTGAGCTTCCGCTTCGATCCCCGACCTACTTTCCCCTCCCCCGAGGCTGGAACGGATTCCAATTGTACAATTTGAATTCGTTCCAGCCTAGGTGACTGTTCGCCTCCTTCGTTTCCCTCTCTCTTCCCCCTTTCACTCCTATAAATTGCCCCCCACTTCCTCCTTCTTCCTCATTCTGTCAACTTCGCTTTCTCTCTACTTCCTATCTCTACCTCGTTTCTTTGCTGCTCGCAAGTGCTCTGCCTAATTCCTCGGCCAACTCCCTCGGCCATTGCATTCTCCCCCGTCGACACGCATTTCCTAATGGCTTCCACCAACCAGCCCGGATCCCCAAAAGCTGTGCCCGAGGGCGCCGACCCTCTCAATGTTGCGCCCTCTGGTGTCGCGCCTTCCAACGCCGCGCCCTCTAGCGCCGCGCCTTCCGCTGCCCCAGGTACTTATGCGCCTTCGTGGTTTTTTTTTTTACCGCGCTGATGTCTATTCGCCGCGCCTTACTAGGATTTTTGTAGCAATAATCACACACCCCCCCCAAACTAATACCGTTTCTTGAGCGCCCCCACCGCGCCTTCCTTTGGGCGCCTCCTTTTTCATAGCCTTCTACCTTGAGCGCCCCCCTTGACTTCTTCCTCTTCTTCTGACGTAGGCACCCGCGCGCCTCGAGAGTACGGGATAAGCCAGTGGGGCAACATGTGGCCCCCAGGGTACATGCCCACCGACATTGACCCGATGTCTGAGGAAGACGCCGGGGCTACTCACGCGTCCAAAATCCTCTATTCACGCTTTACGAAACTGATCCGGACGGCGCAGATACCGGCCGACTGGCGCTACGCCCACCCTCTCCTATCGCACGCGTGGAAGTCTGTGGAGAGGGGTGGATCGGCGTGTACCAGGAGTACGCGCGCTTCGGGCTGCGTTTTCCGATTGACCCCATACTTGAAGGCGTGCTACATCTATCTCAATGCTCTCTTGGGCGCCTTTCTCCCATCATCATCTTATACACAGTACTCTTCCACCTCAAGTGCCGTCAACACAACATCCTACCCTCCTTCAAACTCATTCATCACTTCTTCACCATGGTTCGAAGTCCCAACTGCTTCAGCCTGCAAAAGCGCTCCAAGTTGGAGTACAACTTCATAGGTGTCGGGAAAAAAATGGGGTGCTCATGGTTCGAGTCTTTCTTTTTTGTCCGCCCCGTGACACTCCCTTCTTCGAGAGCGGCGTGGCGCCCCTTACTCAGTGGTCTTTTGGGGATGAGAGCGAATTCAACAAACACCCCCCTCTCAACAAGGCAGAGGAGGTCATGGCGCGGCGCCTTGCCTCCATGCCAATAAATCTGAAAATTCGTGACGAGTATGCTCGTCTCTTAGCAGAGTTTTATGACGATGGTAACTTTTTTGTGTTGATTGCGTGCGCCTCTTCTCTTTTCTGTTTTTCGATGCGCCTGCCTAACGCTCATGTTTGTAACTTTTTCTTTGCAGGCACTGCCTTCACCAGTGTCTCGGATCTCATTCGCTCGAAGCTCCACCTAGTTCCGCCTGCGCCTCGCGGGCGCGGCAAGACCCGCAAGGCGCAAAGGGCGCCAACTGCTCCAACCCAGGCTCCTCCTCGGAAACTAGTGCGCGTGAGGATTGTCTCTAATCCGACTGCGCCTGTGACCCGCGCTCCTTCCCCCGTGGTTACCGAGGCGCCTCAGGCGTCCCAAAGTTCCCCCATTGACATCGACGACGCCTCACCCTCGCACAACAGTCAAGGCGCCTCTCTGTCACCGCGCAGCCAGGGCGCAACCTCGCAGACTCCGACCCACGCCTCCCAGGCCACGACCTCAGAAAAGAGGCCTGCCGAACCACTTCTCTCCGCCGCGAAGAAAGCCAAGATCGATCGGGTGATAGCTTCGGGCGTGCCGCCCAGCCTGGTGATGCCAACCATTGGGGTGCATACCGGGAACATTCTGCCCCTATACCTCCAGCCGCCTTCCCGACCATTGGAGAAGGTTGCCGTGGGCGTGCCTGTTAGGGCGGCTAAGGATCCTGGCGCCGCAATGCAGATTGTGCTCTCTCACGCCGCCGTGATCTAGCGCCCAGATCACCTTAACTCAAACCGGCCGCTCCGTACCATGGCCAACCTCAACGTGCAGGTAAGACGCACCTTCCTTCAATACCAAGAGTTGAACACTTGATTTTTTTTACCGAGTCTAATTTTGGTGCGTTGTATGCGCGCCAGATGATGATGCTGATCGAATCCACCGCGCGTGAGTTTGACCGGCTGGCCAAGGAGAGTTCGGCCTCCGAAAGCGCAACTGAGCGCCTTCGGGAGGAGTTGGCGGTCGCCCGGGAGGCGCATGAGAAGCGGACCCAAGCCCGAGATGAGGCGCAAAAAGAAGCCCAGGCTTGGGCGAGAAGTAGGGCGCTTTAATATAGGTATTTTCTTAACACCGGGCGCAATTGTAGGGCGCTTTACGGTACGCATTTCCCTCATCCTACACCGCCAACGGAGGACGCATAGGCTTGAGGCGCAAAAGTGGGGCGCTTTACAGTAAATGTTGCTAGTGTTAAGGCGCAAAAGTAGGGCGCTTTACGTTACTCATTGCAATAATCCTATGGCGCAAAAGGAGGGCGCTTTACAATCATCTTCCTCGACGCGTGGGGTGACGCTCTT